TGATTATCTGATCTTTTTGATGACAAAAAATTTTAGAATCTTCTAGAAACACTTTCTGGTGACCATTAAAAGATTTTTTTTTAATAAATTTTTACTGAATATTAAGTACTAAACAAAACATTATAGATATGTATTGTTACCTTTTTTAGATTGCATACTTAAATATATTTACTACCTAAATTCATTTAATAAGTAGATTTACATTTATCAATGTTAAAATAAGCACTTAAACATAAAAAATATTTGAACAGACCAAATTTAAAGTGCTATTTTTATTTAATGAATTAACAATAATATAAATTTTCTAACTAAAACTTAGCACAAAACATTATTTAAATTATAAATATTGATTTAAAGCTTTTTTTACTTTATATATCTATTATTTTATTTCTTTAAAAGCAAACTTGAATAATTTTCAGCTTAATCATCATTAAATTTAAAGCTCAAATTTATTAAAATTTTTAATACAGCTAACAAATGTTTTATTAACAAAATTTTAAGCTTACTATAATATCAGTATTGCTTTTATTGTAATTGGAAAATGCCATAACATTTACATTCCTAAAAATTATAAGAATTAATTAATACATTTTTACTATATAGGACTGCTATGTAGGATATACAGCAAAAGTAAATATTTTTTTAACACGTTTATGAATATCAATAATTTATTCCAGAATATAATTTTAAATATGAATTGATATATTATTGAATGAATGGCCCATATAAGTTTTCAGTATATTAAATAATAATTTGTATATTTTTGTAGGTAATCAAATTAATATTTTGAAAAGTTATATAATAATCATCATTTTCTATTTTTTATGACTGTCAGATTTTAAAAAGCTTTTATTAAATATTAATTAATTTTTTAAATATAATTGCATTTTTTAAAGTAAATATATTAATTTTTTTATTTAATTCTGATGCAATTTCAATTACATAATTTGTATATAAATTATATTGTATTTTTTAAATAATTAAAAAAACAAACTTTTGATTAATTAAAAATGATTTACTCATTAAGAATACTTCATAATTATATCAAAATTTCTGTTAAAAATTATATTTGGTTAATACTTACCATAGAAATAATACGTAATTATGTCTATATCTTTAAATAGTTCTACATAAGAACAATGTTGACATAAATCTCAAATAATTTTAAATTTAAATTATTACAATTTTTTTAATGATTACATTATTTTTCAAGATATTGATGAAAAACAGTGTTCAGATTTGATTAGGAATTTATATTATTCAAAGGAATTCAATCTGGTAATGGGCCATCTTCAGACATGGATAGTGAAATCACACTTTTTACTTTCATCTATCCATACCTGAAGATGACTTTTACCAGGTTAAAAACATTAATATTCCTTCAACTTTGCCACTGTTGAAGATGCATTAATTCAATGGATTAACAACAATGGCTAGTTCATTCATTTTTCTACACATTAATTCCATAACTAAAATTTAAAAATCTTATACATATTTGTCATTTCCAATAGAACTGCCCTTAATTATAATCAAAATTGTTTATGAAGATAATTTTCAATTTATATAATTTCATAATTAGCTGTCATTATAGAATAATTATTGATAATCATTTTAATAATTTTTTCATTATTTCAGAATTATCATACTTATTAAAATTCATTTCCAACATTTTTAATTGTTTTGTAAATTATGAAGCTAAATATTTAATGACTTTAACTACATACTCTAGAAATTTTATAACTTATTTAATTATGAATTACAGTATCTAAAAAATATATTATTTTAAATTCTTTTGAAACATTAAAAAAATATCTGGCNCTCCACGTGGCCAGCCCGTCCAAGCGAGGCGCGAACCCACGACTGAACTTCCAGTGTTCAGGGCACGACAACTGCTTGGCCACTAGTGTCAGTAAGACAGTTCTGTTGTATGGCTCTATAGACACTTTTCAATTATATCATTAGATTTTATAGATTATACAATTAGCCAAGTTAAATGTTTTTAAACAGTTAAAAAATATTTTTATAAAAATTAAAATATATTAGAAATTAATTCATAAAATTATTGAAAAACAGGACCGTTAAAAAATTTTAATTACATCAATTATTTTTAAAAGGTTTCTTTAAGCCAATTTTTTACAAACTATTTTAGTATTTAAAAATTTTACATATAATAAAAGATATTTCTATTTTATTTTATCTTCTAAATTAACAGAAAACAATCAATACATTTCAAGCATTAAAAATATTAACATAAAGTCTATGTTTAGTAGGAAAATTGCTGCTAAAATGTTTTCTGGTGGTTTGCACTTATATAAAATTCTTAATTTTTGTTGAATTAAATTAGACATAAAATCAAAAAATTAAAAATAATTAGAATTCAATCTGCAAAAATTAGATAGAAACAAGAAAACTAAAAACTAAGTGGTGAACTTATTAATTGTCACAATTTTAATTCATTCAAAATTGAGAATTTATGTAATTGATATCTGTTAGAAAATGTTATAGTATCAATTTAATATTATAGAATTTTCTCCAAACTTAGTAAGATACTTGAAAGATAGATTACAAAGTAAAAAAGAAATGAAAATCCTTCTGAGCAAGATTTGGGATATTCAGAGGATGAGCATTAACACCTAGCCACAAATCCTCTATTTTCTGGACAATTGTTCCCATGATATTGGGCATTAAAGTGCCCAATATCATGGGAAAGCATTAAGGTGAAGCAGTACTTTTTTGCTATCAACTATTGGGACAGTTATTACATAAAGATACTGTAATCAATTATGTTAATCTTTTAAGCTGATTTTTTTTTGTTTTTTTATATCCATATGAAAATAAATCTCTTTTAAAATGGTTTAATTTGCTCATTTATTTTCATTGTCTTTTACAGATAAAATTTTCATAAAGAATATATTTTTCATATTTGTTACAATTTTTTAAAAAGAAATTCTGCAATAAAAAGTAATATTGATTTGAGTTTTTCTCTAAACACTCCTTGATTGAATGTTAACAATTTTCTGATTACTAGATATAAGATGATGGCTAGGCAAATGAATTATTTAATTGATTATCTGATCTTTTTGATGACAAAAAATTTTAGAATCTTCTAGAAACACTTTCTGGTGACCATTAAAAGATTTTTTTTTAATAAATTTTTACTGAATATTAAGTACTAAACAAAACATTATAGATATGTATTGTTACCTTTTTTAGATTGCATACTTAAATATATTTACTACCTAAATTCATTTAATAAGTAGATTTACATTTATCAATGTTAAAATAAGCACTTAAACATAAAAAATATTTGAACAGACCAAATTTAAAGTGCTATTTTTATTTAATGAATTAACAATAATATAAATTTTCTAACTAAAACTTAGCACAAAACATTATTTAAATTATAAATATTGATTTAAAGCTTTTTTTACTTTATATATCTATTATTTTATTTCTTTAAAAGCAAACTTGAATAATTTTCAGCTTAATCATCATTAAATTTAAAGCTCAAATTTATTAAAATTTTTAATACAGCTAACAAATGTTTTATTAACAAAATTTTAAGCTTACTATAATATCAGTATTGCTTTTATTGTAATTGGAAAATGCCATAACATTTACATTCCTAAAAATTATAAGAATTAATTAATACATTTTTACTATATAGGACTGCTATGTAGGATATACAGCAAAAGTAAATATTTTTTTAACACGTTTATGAATATCAATAATTTATTCCAGAATATAATTTTAAATATGAATTGATATATTATTGAATGAATGGCCCATATAAGTTTTCAGTATATTAAATAATAATTTGTATATTTTTGTAGGTAATCAAATTAATATTTTGAAAAGTTATATAATAATCATCATTTTCTATTTTTTATGACTGTCAGATTTTAAAAAGCTTTTATTAAATATTAATTAATTTTTTAAATATAATTGCATTTTTTAAAGTAAATATATTAATTTTTTTATTTAATTCTGATGCAATTTCAATTACATAATTTGTATATAAATTATATTGTATTTTTTAAATAATTAAAAAAACAAACTTTTGATTAATTAAAAATGATTTACTCATTAAGAATACTTCATAATTATATCAAAATTTCTGTTAAAAATTATATTTGGTTAATACTTACCATAGAAATAATACGTAATTATGTCTATATCTTTAAATAGTTCTACATAAGAACAATGTTGACATAAATCTCAAATAATTTTAAATTTAAATTATTACAATTTTTTTAATGATTACATTATTTTTCAAGATATTGATGAAAAACAGTGTTCAGATTTGATTAGGAATTTATATTATTCAAAGGAATTCAATCTGGTAATGGGCCATCTTCAGACATGGATAGTGAAATCACACTTTTTACTTTCATCTATCCATACCTGAAGATGACTTTTACCAGGTTAAAAACATTAATATTCCTTCAACTTTGCCACTGTTGAAGATGCATTAATTCAATGGATTAACAACAATGGCTAGTTCATTCATTTTTCTACACATTAATTCCATAACTAAAATTTAAAAATCTTATACATATTTGTCATTTCCAATAGAACTGCCCTTAATTATAATCAAAATTGTTTATGAAGATAATTTTCAATTTATATAATTTCATAATTAGCTGTCATTATAGAATAATTATTGATAATCATTTTAATAATTTTTTCATTATTTCAGAATTATCATACTTATTAAAATTCATTTCCAACATTTTTAATTGTTTTGTAAATTATGAAGCTAAATATTTAATGACTTTAACTACATACTCTAGAAATTTTATAACTTATTTAATTATGAATTACAGTATCTAAAAAATATATTATTTTAAATTCTTTTGAAACATTAAAAAAATATCTGGCAGTCAATAAAAAAAGAAAATGCAATCAATCACATTTAGCATTTATTAAACTAAAAATTATCAATATATAAAAGTGTTTGGAAAATGAAGATTGAGAATTAATTTAAGATTCATATGCAGGATACACCAGATGCAGATGAATACATAATACCAAAAAAGCAAACTGATAATCCTTTTGTTGAACCAGGTCCTCAACAAACTGTTGTTGACATGAGAGGTTAGTAATTGTATTTTATTAATTATTATATCTATTGAATTTAGATATCACCTAAATTCAATAGGTATATATTATATAAATAATATATTTCATTAATAATGAATATTTTTAATAATAAATTATTTTTATCTTCTAATAATTTAATATTGCTTATTCTCGATCAAAATGCGTTTATCAAATAATTATTAATTAAAATTAATATCAAAAACATTAAATCCAGCAAGAAATAGAACATTTATTAACAGAATGAACATTTTCAACCATGTATTTTTTTTCATTTTTTTAATTATTAATAACAGTAATAAGTATTACTATTATTAATAATTATTAACGTCAATTTACCGTTATTATTATTTATTGACATTATAAATACAATGTATATATTATGGCCAATGGTGTGTAATGTAAAATAATGTGAATATCTGTTCATTTATATAAAAGATCAAAGTAACTTGACAATGATGTCTTTGACCAAATGCTCACATCATTGTACAAACATTAAACATTCACATCTTTCACCAGATATATTTTTTTCAAGTTAGTATTACTGACAGTTTGTTTGTTTTAAAACAACTGTTCAAAACAGTGTTTAAAACACTAAAGCATTTAAAACAAGTTGTTTAAAACTGTTTTAAACAATAAAAAAAATGTTTAGAACAGTGCAGAATCAAGTTAATTTTTTGTAAAAAAATTTGAAAATTTTTTTTTTTGATGAATATGCCTGTACAACAAAAGTATCATGAAATCCTGTATACTAAATCATGGGCCTGCTGAATTCTGAAAACTACATTTTTATATACTGTATCAAGATAACTTCTTCATGCACACTGGGGTGTGTATAATACCCGCTTGTTTTATTATACTGTATTAAGAATATTCAGGTATTTTTTATGAAATAAAGAAATAAATATTTACAAAATAATAAACACAATTCACATATACAGTATCATACATAAACACACATTTTATTAAAAAAGTAATAAAAAGTGATAATGATTATTGATTGAACAGTTGATTAATGAACACAACATAAATAGAAACTAACATTTACAAATACAAAATTTGTAATTTGTAAATTTAAGTTTTGCTTGTTTTAATATTTTAATTTTGGAATGCATCATCAGTTACTTTTAGAATTTCATTAAAAGTCAATGATCTTAATATTTGTTTAAACTGTTAATGTTATTTTGTTTTAACTTGTGATTTGAATTTAAAATTGGCATACAACTCACCTCATTGCATAATCCATGGGTTATTTGCGTGAAATTACAGTAAATACATGTTTAATATTTATAAATTAAATATTTTAGTTTATAAACCATGATAATGATTAGTTTAAAATATTACCAGTTCATTTCACTAAAAGATAAATTCTGACTTGAATATATACAAATGACTTTTTATATCATCATCAATCAATTTAAAAATAAATTTTGATAAATATTTGAAAAATTGTTTCAAATCATTTCATTATATAAAAAAATGCTACTATATTTCTTTTTTATTGTATCTTTTATCAAATTTTCTACTCTTATTAAGTAAAAAGTCAAAATTATGATGATGATGAAATTAAAATGCCATATTTTGTAGATTCTAAGTGCCTGATGATCGAAAGATGCCCTAAATATTAAAGCAAAAGTATTTGTTTGGCAATTGCAGTGAAATTTTTGTATTTAAAAATCTTTCTCATATACATTTTAATGTTATGTTGGTGTTTTATAATTTTTCTCAAATTTGATTATTTAAATTTGTTTTGAAAGTAGAATGAGTTACCTCAGAGACATGATTCTGAGGGTTAGCACTCTATGTCCCCATGGACTTCAATTATTTAATTAAAAGTTTTTAAAATGTTTTTTAATATGGTAGAATGTATTACATTGTAAAAACATTTTAAAAATTTTTAATTAAATAATTGAAGCCCTTGGGGACATATACTGCTAACCCTCAGAATCACATCTCTGAGGTAACTGAGTTTGAATGTTTGAAAAAGTCTTAAAATCATATGAATAGGTGTATGTTAATATATTTGCTTTCCTAAAATTGCCTGTAGATGTGGCTGTCATCTCATTGTTTTGGGATTTTTCATTTTAGGATTTTTTTTAAAACATTCAAACTCAATTATCTCAGAAACGTGATTCTGAGGATTAGCACTAAACATCCCCAAGGGCTTCAATTCTCTAGAGTTAGATTAATTAATTAATAATTATACATATCAATTAATTAACTTTCAACAGGAGACTTAAAAAATGAATATAAAATACATGTTGAAAATGTGAAGGTAAGTAAATACTGTATAAAGGAATGATGCTATTTTTCTGAACTCACATTGTGATCATGATTAACTTCATAATCTATATAATTTTTATTGAGTTTTTTTCAATATTGAATTATAAGGAAATTGTTTATGAAATTTGTTTATAAGACTTAAAATAATTTCATAAAAATGTACATAAATTTTATAAATTTAAGTTATCTTTCACAAATCTTTTCTGTCCTTTTAAACTCTATTCTAGTTAAGTTTTATAATATAATAATAATTATGCATATAGAGATAATTGAAATATATTAATATAAATAATTTATAGGTTTACTCAATGTGTCATTCAAAGCTGGAACTTATCCTAATAGTAATCAGTCTCAACCTTCGTTACTTCTTCCAGAAATACTTTATTAAAAACAAATGTTTTCAGCAGCCTACTTTATGGGCTTGCTTTAGGTTCTACATATTTGAATTGAATGGTTTACTGAGTGTTCCAAAATTGGAATGTTCCAACCGTTAAACTGACTTTTTAAAAAATGCATTTTTTAAAAAATTGAATTATTTAATGCATCAAATTAAATAAAAATAAAATAAACACATAAATAAATAAAAATAATTATATATGTGTTTATTTTATTTTTATTTAATTTGATGCATTAAATAATTCAATTTTTTAAAAAGTTAGTTTAAAGGTTGGAACATTCCAATTTTGGAATACTCAGTAAACTGTTCAATTCTAATGTGTAAAACCTGAAGCAAGCCTGTAAACTAAGCTAAAAACGTTTGTTTTCTTTCCAATCAGGTATTGCTGAAAGAAGTAAGGAAGGTGTGAAATTGATTGTTACAGATTTACAAAATAAAATTAATAATTAAGGAAATGATATTTGGCATAATATGAAAATTATGATTTAAAAGTTGGAAATTCATATATAATTTTTTAATTATAAATAATAGAATAAAAGTATTGCTTTTAAAATGAAATTCTTTATAAATTATAAAAGAAAGGATTATAACTCATTAGAATAAGAGTAAATTGATTGAAATATGTCATATATAATTAATTATGAATGATTTCTGTGTTTGTATGTTTTAAAATAATATTAAATATTAATTTTTAATGGTGTATTAAACTCATTTTTTAATTTTATTTACATTTATCAAATCATTACTAATATGTAAATTTCATTTATGACTGAAATTTTTTATATATTTTCAAAATTAGTTTTTTTTTTAATTTTTAATAACTGTAGATGTGTTGGTGCTGAATGACATTATAGAACAAGCAGCTGGGAGGCAAAGCAGAGCAAGTGAGAGAGGTAACTATCCTGTCCATCCACGGATCCAAGTCCTGCCCCTGTAGATGATGGTGATGCCTGTCTGCCAGTCCTATCCCTACCAACTACCTGGACTGCATTGAAGTTTTGGTTCTACAGTAGATAGCTGGACTCTTTTTTGCTTGAATTTCATTTCATACGAAGAAAGATATTTTTCAAAGTAGGTAGTTGCAGAACCAATGAACAAAACAGGGCAGCTACTTTCATTTAAAAACATGATGCTAACTGAATGCAGCATGCGAACAGCTTGGAAGATCCCTTATTTTAAATGGTAGTTGTCAAGATAGATGCAAAGGGCTTTCCACCATGTTTGTGCATGAAACATTTTTCCCATTGGGTGGCATGGGTGTCATATTCTATAGGGATTTTATTTCTAATTTATTTTCATTATAATATCTGCTGTGTAAGATAGGTTTTCATGATAAAATGTTGCATGTAGTGCTGTCTTCTTGTTGGATGATCAGTTGAATTTTGGCAAAATTTGTTTTATATTGTTAATTACTGTGTAGTTCTATCATGCTAACAATATATTAAAACATGTTGGCTGAGATATCACTTTCAGAAGTGGTAAAGTATATTTCATCTATTCTTAATGCTTAAAGATATTATCAGAAATTTTAAGACAATTGACAGTGCACAAATGTACCATTATTATTTTTTGTTATTAATATGTATAATTATAATTAACATTAAACTTTTTATTAATATTAAATATTTTTAAAAATAAATAATTTTAGATAGATATTCAATTTATCATTAATATTTTAAATAAATTAATTATTAATAACTTCTTCATAATTTTGAATTTGGTTGTTTGTGCACTATTTTATAAACTACCCAGTAGTCTGTCCTTTGTTGTGATGCATGGCAGTTTGTAGTTTGTGGTGTGCGTGGTGTGTCACTGTAGAGTAGACAGACCCGCCCACAGGCTACCCAACGGCCATACTTAAACATTATTCAGTGTCCATCTATTATTTTCCTACAGAGAGAGAGGAAGAGGAGAAACCCAAGTTCAAAGAAAAATTCTTGGCTCAGTGCTTGAAATGTATTGATATCTTCTGTCTGTGGGACTGTTGTCAGTGCTGGATCCGCATTCAAGAAATCATCACCCTCATCGTCTTCGATCCCTTCATGGAACTGTTTATTACTCTCTGCATTGTTGTCAACACACTCTTCATGGCCATGGATCATTACGATATGCATCCAGATTTTGAAAAATTCTTAACAACTGGCAATTATGTAAGTCAGGGCAAAGGCTGCAAATTACATCAATAGTTCAGTGATGCAACTCCTTTTTTTTAGATATATTTTTATTATTATGAATATTAATATAATCAAATTAATTTAACTCAATTTAATGCATATAAATTAAGATTTATATTTTGAAATCTAAATAATGTAATTTTGACTGAGTTGCATAACTGAATGAGCAACACAGTGCCTTTGAGATATATGATCATAAATTTCAATTTTAAAAAATTATATATATAAATATATATTATTTAATGCTGTTTATTTTTAAAAACATAATGCTTCCCCTTTGGTGATCAACTAGCCAGTCCACAACTGGAGAAATTAACCGCATGTGTAAAAAATCATTTCCCTGTGTGGCATTTTGGCTTTTTAATTTTATCGGGAAGCATTTCACCCATAAAATTGAGCTTATTAGCAAATTTATCCATACTTTTATTGCATGGCACCTATTTGATGCAAAGCAATTTGCTTTGTATGTGAGCAAAATATGCAGTTCATATTTTTCTTATCCTCCTGCAAAATTTGCTGGAATTTTTTAATCATTTGTCCTTATGCACTTTTGTATTATTTAATAACTACCTGAAGTTAAATATTTTCAACATGCTCATTATTTAGCTTGGCCTTGCAACATAAAATATAATTGTTTTTTTGGGTATGCAAAGATATTTACTTTGTTTAATGCAGTATAAACCAGCCAGAAATATAGGATTAAATTAATAAAAAAGTAATTTCCTTATCTGAGGTAAGCTGAAAAATTATATAGCAAGGTAGAATTATAGAGTAAAATAATATAGTTACTGATATAGTATAGAATGTTACAGTAGGTAATATTTTATGGTATTTTTTTTTTTTTTGTTTTTATCAGATAGGTAAATCATAATTATAAATTTGTGAAAATGCAAACTGCTAGTAGGAGATAAAAATACTGAGATGTTAATAAGGTCAAATGGATTTCACTTATTAGATTGTTCTACACAAATATCATTATATTATATTTAGTGTTATTAAAATTAAAACATTAAAAGAAAATTTAATTCAAAAATCTGATTTAAAAAATAATGGCAAATCATTTTATGGAATTTAAGTTTTCAGTTTGAGTTTTTAATTTATTAAATAATTTTTAATAAATATTAATTGAAACATTTTTATTTCCAGTTTAAGCAAGTTGAAAATAAATAAGAAATAATTTTATAGTTATAAATTTGTCCATAAATAATTTTTTCATTAGATTTTAGTTTTTTTTTTAAATATTATAAGGTATATGTAATAGAAATCTGGAAAAGTGTCATTGAAAGTCAGGAGAGTGGACAATTTTATAGTAATTTTGACACATGAAACTTCAAGTCAGAGGCAACAGTTACTGCAATTAGCAATACTGTTGATGTGTGAGAACATAAGACAACAGACTGATAAAATGATGGCACCTCTCAGCAGTACACAAAAGAAGAAAGCAATGTAGTGTTGTGTGATTTTTAGATAAAAACGAATTGACATCCCATTGGTATATTCAGATATAGTAAAGAGACAACTGCAAGAGTTGCACCCAGATGTACAAGTAGAGCCTTAAGGTTCAAAAGATTTTCTATAGCTGGGACTGCAATGAATGCAATGGAAAATCTTCCACAGAACTGTGGTTTGTTTTTGGAACTTTAGAACTCTACTCATACACTTATGTTCAACTCATATAGTCTTCTCCTTACCTTCATGAGCCAATGGGATGTCAATTAGTTTTTATCAAAAAATCAGACAACACTACATTACTCTTCCTTTGTGCACTTCTGAGTGCTGCAACCTTTTTATCAATCTGTTGTCTTATGTTCTTGCACATCAATAGTTTTGCAAGATGCAGTTATTGTTGTCTCTGACTTGGAAGTTTCATGTTTCAAAATTACTATATTGTTGTTCACTTTACAAACTTTTTATTAATATTTTTCAGTTTTCTATTGAACTTGCCTTGTATGTTTGAAATGAATTATTATGGAAAAAATTAATTACATTTTTTACATAAAATGCAAATTTTATGTAAAGAATGTATTATTATTTCTCAAAAAGGTAGAACAAGAAATTAAAGAATATTGAAATAAAAATTAAATATATTAATTTTATGCAGTTTAAAATTAATCAAAATCTAAAAATATAAATATGAAATTTTGATTGATTTTAAATTTATTTTCTCAAAAGTTTAAATTTAGAATGTTTTCTTTTTCAATAAAATTACTGATAAAATTTTTCTTGTTTCAGATTGTAAAATGTTCTAAATAATACTTTATTGCAGTTTTAGAACCTATAACTGATGTGATATAAAAACAAAAGATAAAGATCACCACAAACGTTTTCAAACTGCTGTGAGTTCTTTTTCAGGTGTGAAACAGAATAACTGATGGGACAGAGCAAACCGTTATGGAAATTCAGGAAATATTAGAAGGTGTTACAAGAGATGCACGCGTGTTCATCTGGTTGACATATCGTGAACTTAAAGTTCGGAGTCCATCAACACCTGCCAGGCCGATGACAGAACCAACTCATCCTTAAAATTGATGCAGTTGTCATTGAGGTTTGATTTATAAATGTGAATGACTTCTAGCCACTTAAGGTGTTCGGCATGTGACGTAGCATGTACGAGCTTCGCCTGGTGGAAGGCCGCCTCAATATGTGGGTTGGTGGTGTATGTGGCGAGGGCGGAAGCATTTCTCTGATGATGTATGTCCACTATATGTTCCTGTACTCTGACTTCCAAGGAGCATTTTGTGGATCCGATGTATACAAGGTCCCTATCAAATCTGTTGTCCCTAATGGGATACTATAGATGCCAGGGAGTCTGTTCAGGTTGGGGAGGTCGAGATCGCCAAGAAATGACATATTCAGATCACATACAGATGTCCTACCATCTTTGACATCCTTCGCAATGGAAAAGGGACCTCCAACCGGATAGGGACCTCGTATACATCGGATCCACAAAATGCTCCTTGGAAGTCAGAGTACAGGAACATATAGCGGATATACGTCATCAGAGAAATACTTCCGCCCTCACCACATATGCCGCCAACCCACACATTGAGGTGGCCTTCCACCAGGCGAAGCTCTTACATGCTACGTCACATGCCGAACACCTTAAGTGGCTAGAAGTCATTCACATTTATAAATCAAACCTCAATGACAACTGCATCAATTTTAAGGATGAGTTGGTTCTGTCATCGGCCTGGCAGGTGTTGATGGACTCCGAACTTTAAGTTCACGATATGTCAACCAGATGAACACGCGTGCATCTCTTGTAACACCTTCTAATATTTCCTGAATTTCCATAACGGTTTGCTCTGTCCCATCAGTTATTCTGTTTCACACCTGAAGAAGAACTTACAGCAGTTCAAAAACGTTTGTGGTGATCTTTATCTTTTGTTTTTATATCACACTGGTTATAGGTTCTAAGAGTGCAATATTTAACACATCCTGGTGTTTTGTGATGTAGTTTAAATAATACTTTATTTGTGTATAATAAATAAATTATAAACCTCTGATGATAAATCTCTTTTAAAAATTAAAGTTTGAGCAGTAATTTTTAAAGGTTGCAAATTTTAAAATTACAGAAATTCAAAGTTACTTTCAAATATAAAGAATAAATTTAAAATTATTTTAAATAATATTTTATCAATAAAGTAGCATTATTTTAATTTCAATGATAAATATAAAATATGATTCATCGAAGTATAAAAAATAGAGAGATAGCTTAAAAATATTATAAATAAATTACATAATAGCAATCTTTATTATTTGAATGAATTAAACTGAATGCATAGAAAAAAATTAATTTCCTCCAGTTTGTTAAATAAAGTAATTTTTAAAAAATATATACAGTAGAACTCAGTTAAGAAGTTTCTACTTTAGAAGCTTTCTCACATGAGAAGTTTAATTTTAAAGTTCTAATTTTTCCCCATTAGGATGTGTAAATTTTTTCTGTATAAAATGTTCCTGTTTAAGAAAATTTTTCACTTAAGTACTTAAGTACATAGAAATTTTTGGCCATGACTGTAAAAATGGACTTGCTTAAGAAGTTCTTTAACTGTATATTATCAAAACTTTTATACATTTAATTGCATACAAACAAATCAAAATAATTACATTAGAAAATGCACAAAATTTTTTGTCATTTTGCATATGACTTTGGGTTGCTTTGAACATGGATTTTACAATTTTCTTACATAGTTATTTGCAACAAACAGCAAGTTCTGAAAAGTGTTACCTATATGTGGGTTATGCTACATATCTTTAATGAATTTTAGCACAGTAGACTTTTTGTAGATCTGTGGATTTTTATGGGAATCATAAAATATATTTGTTTTACATAACAAAATGGATGAAGCTGGGCTACATTAGACAAATAATAAAGCCAATCACTGCCATATGCCATTGGGCTATATAATGGCTATTATATAGCCATTATATAGCCTGATGGCATACGACAGTGGTTGGCTTTATTATTATAATGTATTAGGTTTTAGTAGAGTTGTTTATTAGACAAATAAATAAGTAGACACTGTATAAGCTTAATTCACTTTAATGTGATGGAAAATTTTAAAATATATATGGATTATTGAATGATAAGCAGAAATGAAAATAATATAACTTAAGAAGTTTTTTAATTGGTTCCTTGAAAAAGAATCAAAGTTCTACTGTATTGACTTTTCATTATTAATGTAAAAAACAAATTAAAACTGAATTTTTTTAGCATCTGTCTAAAAATTGTATTGAAAAATTTTATGTTTATACTTTATGAAAAATTTTATGTTTATATTGTATTTCTATTAAACTTAGTATTTGTAACAAACAAAAAAAAAATTAAACCCATTAAACAAGTAAAATTCCAATATTCATAATATTTCACTTATTATTAAAACTTTATCAATTTTTTTAAACAAAATACCAAGCTTAAATTAGTTGAATTGCTGTGCCAATGTTATTTCTGCCATTCAAGAATATATTGAATAAGA